ATCATTTAAGAAAATAAAATCGAAAAAAAAATTTTTTTCCCCGGCGACCTATATGGAGAGAAGGGTGGTCTTCTCGCGGACCCTCTCTTAATTTATTGTCTCGAAAGGTTTTTTTTTTAAAAAAAATATTATCTGTAAATAGAAAAGAAAAAGCTTGTAAATCTTACTCTTGATCATGATGAGTAGGTGCAATAGGTGGTAATGAAGCAGTACTTTTTCTGTGTTTTTTATCTTTAATATTGTCAGTAGTTTGTTGATTATCTTGTCCTAAATAATTATTAAGAGAATGTTCATTAATAAGATCTAACCATTCATTTAAAGATTGTATATCTGGTGCTTGAAATAAAAATTCACTTTGATTTGCTGTTGTTACTTTAAAAACTCTTGGTTTTTTAATATAATCACTTGCTAATTCAACATCAGCATTTTGAAGATTAATTGGAAATGAATCACATGAAAGTGGAATTAATAATCCATGTTTTTTTTCTTTACCAAGAAATAAAGCTCCACGTCTAAGCACAGCCCATGCTCCACGCCATGAACGATCAAGTGCACGACGACCTTCTTTTAATAGAGTTTTACAATAAAGTATTCCTTCTTTTGATGCTTCTAAATTATCAGTCATTGTTGTTAATCGAATTGATTCTCGAGTATTTAGTGTTCCATCAATAGTTGAACCATCAAATATTGAACCAGATTTTGATTGACCACCTGATGATGAATGTGGAGATAATGGAGATTGAGATAATGATGGACGATGTTCCATTTCATTATTCGTTTGCCCTAACTTTATTTATTTTAAAAAAAAAATACACATATATATATATATTTTTTTTTTAGTTTCATTTAAATAAATTTAATTTACATTTTCACCAAAGAAGTTTTTTAATTTTTTAATTCCTTGTGTTTGATGTTGAGGAAGATTTCTAAAATAAAATTAAGGTTTATTTCGTTTTTTCTTAACAAAAACCAAAACAAACCAAATTTTATTTTAGAAATCTTCCTCAACATCAAACACAAGGAATTAAA